GGCATTGCGCTGAATGCTTTCACATATATTCTCTTTTATTCCTTTTACAATCCTATAAGTGGCATTAATTGTTTTACAGATAGTACCAATAGTAGTAGTAGTAGTAGTAGTAGTAGAAGAAGAAGAAACTAACATTTGTCCAATTCTTACTGTGTCTCTGGCACTGTGCTAAATGGTTTATGTATATTAAATCATTGAATCCTAGCAACAATTCCATACAGTAGGTACTATTATTATACTTCTTTTTATAGATGAAGAAACTAAGGCTCAGCAAGGTTAAATAGCTCATCTAAAGTCACATAGCTAGTAAGTGGTAGATCCTGGATTTGAACCTGGGTGATTTGTTTTCAGAGCCTACTCTCTTAGAAAACAGAGTCAGAGAGATTAAATAACTTATACAAGTTCACAGAGCCAGTAAGAGGCGGAACTGGGATTCAGACATAATGTATTGTCCCATCCCGCGGGAGAATCAACGCGAGCCCTGGAGGAAGGAGTGGGAATTGGGAGGGGCAGGAGACACAAGAAATGGAGACAAGACAGGAGTCTGATCAAGTCTCACTTATTGGCAGTAGGGCAGAGGCTTAAGTAAGGCAGAAAGAGGAGGTAACAGTAAAGGGGCGGTGCTTTCCGAGACTCTGGCTTTCCAGCCAGGGGATTTCCATATAAGGAAACCCTCGGGTGGCTTTCAAGGGCTATGTCATAATGGGTAAATGGAAATTTACAAGCTAGCAGGCTTAGTCGTCCATCTTAGATGAATAGCTGCCGGGCCTTACGGCTCCGGACAGGGTCAGCCATTTTTAGATGAATAGCTGCCGGGCCTTATGGCTCCGGACAATGTATGACTCCAATCCATTGCTGTTTCCAATGTGCCAAACACCACACTTCTCATTCACTTGTTTGCCTTTTTCTAGGTAGGATTGCTTCCACGGTGCTAGCTTATAGCAAAGCACAGGGGATCTATTAAAAGATACTTCACAAATTCAAAATGAGATGATAAAAAGGGGTGATAAAAAGAGGCAAAGAAGAACTTGGAATTAATCCTGTGGATTTCTCTTTATTCAGTACTTTGGTCTGATTATTTGTTTTTACATCTGGTTTCTGTGGAGTACTCTTACTTTTTGTTAAGAGTACTTTGTTTTGGGTGGTAGTTTCTGAATTCAAAGGCATAATATCTGTTATATTATAATAGGTCTGGTTATGAGCCTGTTGGAGCAGAGCAGAAAGGGCTGGACCCTGGAACCAGACTTGTCCTTGAGGCGGACAGAGGCTGGTTGGAGGGAGGTAATGTGGGGAAGCTAAGCCCTTATAGATGGTGTGTGAGTTTGCTAGGGTTGTTGTAACAAAGTACTACAGAGTGGTCCCTTAAAACAACAGAAACTTATTCTCGCACAGTTGGGGGAATACTATTCAGCCCAGCACAGATGATGTCCAGACAGTAAGCAGCAAACGGCCCTGTAAACAATCAGCATGAGGGAAGACCACCCAGAGTACATGAAGGTCCTGACCAGTGAGTGAAGCATGACAGAGGACACTCTGGGAGCAGGTTGTGAGCAGAGATTCAGGCAGGTTATGACTGAGGAGGGTCCTTGTCCCAGGCTGGTCTCTACTTTCTCTATGGGACCCTGGCAAGAACAAGCTAAAGTGTTTGAGAGACCAGGAAACTGGGCACTTTGCCAAGAAGAAGAAGTCAAGTTACAAGTTGGAATCATGAGAAGCCTTGGTCTCGGCTATAAAAAAAAAAGGTCAGATAAGGGAGTGGGGCCAACTAGGTCAGGGCCAGTCATGTAGCAACTGTGACTTACTGCTGAGTCCCAGAGAGCTGGCCAAAGCACCTAAAAATCCTTCCTTCCCAGGGACAGGCATGGAGCCCAAGCAGTATCAAGCCTTCACGTTGGGGTTCAGTTAGCTGTAGATGAGGAACAGTAGGGAGAAATGAATTAGAGGCTTCATCACTATGATTCAGAAACAAACTTCGTCAATTTCTGACTCTGACAAGTATTAAGGTCTCCTGGCAAGGTGTAAATAAGATTGGACTCTCCGGGTAATATTGAGTGCTTTAGATAAAGGGAATAAAAAATTTAATAATAGTAAATGTCATTTATAAAATGAAAGCTTTTGTCCTTCCTAGGAAACATTTGTAGGTCAGTCTGTCTACTCTCATCAGAGAGGTTGAGTTTTGACATCAGTACCTTTTTAAGTTCATTGGTTGACAATGCTGCTTTGGGACTTTGAAGACTTATTTAACATAATCAAAATTTAGCCTGCTGGATCATCTTAGGACTCTGAGTAACCCATACCATTCCGTTTCTCCCCTCACCTTTAAGCTGGACTGATTTCTCTAAGAATTATATCCTAGACAGTTCATAAGAACAGGGAACCCCAGTGCTGGTGCTAGTTGATGGCTTCTCTGTCTACAGCCTCCACCCTTCTAGCCTCATTCAATTACAGTTGGCTGGGTTTTTTTTTTTTTTTTGTACTTGTCCTTGTCTCCCCTGGACTTAGATTTTTCACCCAGAATCTTTATTCAGTGTTTTTTGTCTTCTTTGATTAGTTTTGAACCCCCTCTGGAGTTTGCCATATACTAGTTCCTTAGTTTCCAATTGTATCATAAACAATTCTGTAATGAATGTTATCATTCATAAATTTTTGTATGCCAAATTGTTTGCTTAGGATAAATTGCTAGAAGTGAAGTTGCTGAATCAAAGATAGGAAATTTTGAATGCTTTTTATACATATTTCCAAATTACTTTTCAGAAAAGTTTATATTCTCTAGTTGTATACATATATATAAGCAGCCTTGTCCCTGAACTCTTACTAATGTCAGATGATTTTTTTTTTTAAGTTTGTCAGTTTGATAGACAATGGGTGGTATCATATTTTTAATTTTTATTGCTAGATTAGTTGAACATATTTTCATGTTTACTGGCCATTTAAAAGTTCTTTTTTGGGAATTGTGAATATCCCTTGTCCATTTTGTTTTGGAATGTGTGCTTTTTATCCTATTGCTTCATTTATTCAACAAATATTAATTGAATATCTTTTATATACTAGGGCCAGACACTGTTCAAGGTGAACAAAATAGGCAAAAATCCGTGTGATTAAGGAAAGCTTAATCCAAAGCTGTGATTAAGCTTATATTTCAATGAAGTGAGATAGAAAGTAAAGAAATAAAATATAATATGAAAAGTGGTGATAAGGACAGTAAAGACAGCTAGGTGTGGGAAGGAGGCAGAGAATGATCGTGGAGGTGCTATGTTATAAAGGTGGTCAGGGGAGGCCTCACTGATATCATAGGTGTTTTAAGTGGAGACCTGCAGAAGATAAAGCATAAGCTCTGTTGATACCTGGGAAAAGCACTATAGGCAGAGGGACAATGAGTGCAAAGGCCCTAAGGCAAGACTGTGTTTCACAAGGGACTGTAGTTTGGCCAGTAAGGGGGAGAGTTAGGAGGTGAGTGTGAAGAGGCAACAAGGAATGCGGTGGGGATGCAGACCATGCAGAGCCTTGGAGCCAGGGTGAGGAATTTGGATTTCATCTGGAGCAAGATGGAAGCAAGCCATTGGAAAATTTTGAGTAAAGGGACATGACTTGACTCTGTTTTAAAAGAACATTGATAGTGGTGAGTAGAGACTAGACTTTGGGGGACAGTGGTAGAATCTGGAAAAACAGTTAGTAGGAGCCTATTGCAATATGCCAGATGAGAGACGCTAGTGGCTTGGATGAAGTTGTGGTGGTGGAGGTAGTGACAAATGACTCTAGATATATTTCGAACATGGAGCCAAAAGATGTTGATGAATTGGATATGGGTGGGGTATGAGAGAAAGAGGAGTTCAAGATGACTTCAAGGTTTTTGGCTTGAGGAACTGCTAGAGTGCAGTTACCATGTACTGCGATGGGGAGAAATGTGGGAAGAACAGGTTTGGTGGTGGTGGTAGTGACATCTTCATGATTTATAAAAGATTTATTTGTGATTAAGTATATTAATCTTTTGTCATTTAGGTGGAAAAGTTTTTTCCCCAATTTGTTGTTTGTTAACTTTGTTAGTGGTATTTTGTTGTACAGAAATGTCAAATTTTTATTTTGTCATGTGTTTATTAGTCTTTATAGTTTTTGGCTTTGCCATCATATCTAGAGAGGTTCTAAAAATAATCACCCATGTTTTCTTTAAGTACTCTTGTGGTTTTGTATTTGCATTTAATCTGGGTGGAATTAACTTCGGTGTATATACTTCGAATTATAGTTCAATCAATTTTTCTCATCTAATCAACCTGATATCTGAGCATCTTTAAACAATGTGATCGTGCTGTGAGAAATTACTGTATCATTTCCTCTGAATTGAAAAAAGGGGGGGGGTGTGGCACATTGTGTAAAGAGGTATTCCATCACATATTAATTAGTGTTTAGCAAGTCCTTGGTCTTATCTTTGGTTGATGACTTAGTGATCATAATTTCTGAGTATATGAGGTTGTAAACATTTGTCTCCTGAGTCTCTTCCATTCCCCAAAGATACTTGACTTAGAAAGTGGCTTTCATTGTTTCCCTCAGTGATTGTTAATTCTGCCATGTAGATGTGACCTGTTTTTAACCACAGCCTGTGCCCTGCCACCAAGTATGCTTTTCTGCGGCTTCATTTTGTCAGTTGATAATTACTCTGAGATTATAAACTAAAATTTGCTTCAGCAATACAAAAATTGACTACAATGTATACTTGTTGTTCATTAAGTCATACTATAGATTCCAAAGCTGTAGTATACATAAATGTTTTCCACTGTTACATTCTCTGTGCAGTAGCCCCTCTCTGATATGTGGATAATTTAGAGGTGACAATAGTATTTAATTTACTGGATATTGTTCTTTAAGGCAAGAAGTGGATTTCTTTTTATTAGTAATGTTTTCCAAGTCTTATAGTTGGGTGAAGTCTTTAAGATTGGAGGTAAACCTTAGAAATTTGTGTAAAGGCTAATTGAACTTAAATCTCTTAAATGTTTTGTTTTTTGTAGAGAGGAAAATATGATGTTCCTAAATGGCTTTCTCCCAGTAGCATTCTGCTCCTTCAACAAATGTTACAGGTAAACTTTGTTATTTTTTTTAAAATAATAAAAGTCTATTGCAATTGTTTGATCCAGCTTTTAAGATATCTGTCTTGCTACTACATTTAGCATGATCTATTAGCTCTGAAAAATTCCATTCATCGTATCTACCTTGCACATATCCTCTACTAGATCCTTAATTATGTTGTATTCCCATTTTTTTTTTTTAGTCATCTGCCATATGTCTTTGCTCGGGTGGTTTTTCTTTTTCTTGAGCACTGTCTGTTTTCTCTAACAGCTCTTACTCCACTCTTTTATTTTCTTGTTCCCACTCTTGCACATTAGGTATGTAGCAGATACCGAGTAAATGCTTGAATGAGTTGATGTACAATTGAGTGGGCTCTATGATCTAGTGCAGTGGTTCTTAATCTCTAACAGGTATCACAATTACCAGATGGGCTTGTTAAAACACAGATTACTGAGCCCCATCCTCAGGGTATCTGATTCAATAGATCTGAGGTAGGACTAAAAATTTGCATTTCTGGCAAGTTCCCAGATGATGCTGATGCTGCTAGTCTTGGGACCACACTTTGAGAATCACTGATTTAGTGGAATGAGCCTCTGAGGGTGAAAAATAGGAGTGCTGAAGTCTAGGTATCCACCCTACCTATCAATAGACATATCACCTAAACTGGTTCTCATCTATAAAATGGGAGCCTCACTGCTACATAGTGTTAGAAGGATAAAATGAGATTGATAGGAAACACTTTGAAAATATGAGTACCTTATTAGTGTAATATTTTTTTCATTATGTATTCAGAATATCTTCTGGTTTTTCCATCTATTAAGTCATCTCCACCTATTATTCAAAATTTACCTCAGGCTCACCCACCTTGATTAAGTAGGGCCAGGCTACCAAATCTCCATAATGAGATTGAAAATGCCTCACTCTTTCTTCTAGACTCCAAAAAATTTAATCTTTGTTGATTAATTTTTCTCTCCACATTTGAAAATTACAAATGGAAAGGAAAGTTGTGCTTTTCAACTTGTTCTATGTGATTGTAAGCTCATTGGAGGTAGAGATTGCATATTCAGTATGAATGCCCTGCATTGCGGCTGCTTGAATATTAAATTGGTGAATATTTCCTGTGAATAGGTTTTCCAGCAAAAGACTATTACATCATACAATAGATTGACTGAACTTCATGAATAATGTCCATACCAATGAAGTTCATGTTTGTTAAATATTTGTCTTCTAAGGCTATGGTGGTTGCTGTAGTTTTCTTGCCTCCATTGCCTTTTTTAAAGAATTTATTCCAAGGCCATTTTAAGGTCTTTGACAACATTTTTGTGATGATAAGGTTTACATCTGTTCTGATGCATTTTGAGTTCCTAGGAGGAAAAGTGTTCTGTGGTCTGTATTTGAAATGTTAATCTCTAACTACTTCTTAATGGCCACTAGGTGGACCCAAAGAAACGGATTTCTGTGAAAAATCTGTTGAACCATCCCTGGATCATGCAGGATTACAACTGTCCTGTTGAGTGGCAAAGCAAGAATCCTGTAAGTAAAATGAAATACAGTAGAATTTTTTTTTTTTTAACTTTGTGTGATCTTTGTGTGAATTCGTAAGCTACAATGGTATGGTCTGAATATAAAACAAAATATATTTTATAGACTTACTCATCAGATTGGTGTTTTAGAGACTTACAACTTAATGTACAGTGGTTTCTTAACCTGATCTGCACATGAGAATCTCCTGGGACCTTAAAAAGAAATGTCTGCTCCCCATCCCGGAACACCTAATGAGTATTTTTAAAAGCTCCCTGGGGTTTCTCGTGTATAGTTAGTCACAGCGCTCTGGGAATCTCAGACAAGTTACTTACCTTTGCAAAATCTATTTATTCATCTGTAAGAAGTATGTTAAACCAGTTCTACTTCCCAGAGTAGTTATGAGGTTACAGTGGTTTTCAAACTTTTTAGTCTGTGGGGGACCCGTTTACATTCTTAATATTTATTTATTAAGTCATTTTAAAGTAGCAGTAATAAACCTATTACATATTATTCCAAATATTTTTATGAAGAATAACCATTTAAAAAATAAATTTAGGAAAAATAGTGGCATTGTTTTACATCTTTGCAAATTTCTTTAAAGTCTGGCTTAATAGAAGACACTTAGATACATATCTGCTTCTGCATTCAGCCTATTTTATATGTTGTTTTTATTGAAGCATATGAACAAAATGCAGCCTTACATGGATGTATAATTAGAAAAGGGAGAAGTATTTGAATAGCCATTCCAGATAATTTGGGCTGTTCTCTGATATTCCACCAAAACTTCTGCAGTGGAGTGGGACATGTGTATGGACCAACAGAACAGCTTGGAAGTGGATTTCAGATATGCTACAGTGTGGACTTGGACAGCTGTGGGGTCTTTGCTTCCTGGAATAATCACACCAATAAATGTAAATACTCTTCCCAATGGCCAGCTGGTCTTGGAAAAGTAGACTATACTTGCTTCAAGCCCCTTCTCACTATTCTGCCCACTATTATGGCCATGCAACCTGAGCTGAAATCTCTCCTGATTTTCCTGTCACTGTCAACTCCTAAAATTTCTCTTATCCATATTCTCCCCGTCCCTCTAGGTCATCTTTAATATCTACTGAGCAAATGCAGTGTAATTGTAACAACTTAACAACACTGAGAGGCTGAGAGGAGCAGAGTGTGCAAAGTCTGAGCAGTGCAATAGCAGGGCCAGGGAAGATGTGGTGTGCCCATTGTGAGGTGGAGAGAGTGGGTGGTGCAAATGCCTGTGTTCAGCCATTGGGGGTCATCATTTCTCCGTGTGTGGAGAGCTTTGCATTTCCTCTCAGCCATGATCCTAATAGAATAGGATACACTACCATTTGCAACATAACAGATGCCAAAATGAAGAAGTCTCTGATTTGTTTGGGCCACAGTATAAAGAAAAAATATATAAACTTTTGAGCGTTCCAAAAGAATATGCAGTTTTCCTTATATCCTTTTTGTTTTTTTTCTGTTGCCCAGGCTAGAGTACAGTGGAGTCATTATAGCTCACTGCAACCTCAGCCTTCTGGGCTCAAGCCATCCTGCCTCAGCCTCCACAGTAGCTGGGACTACAGGCACATGCCATGACACTCGGCTAATTTTTCTATTTTTTTTAGTAGAAATGGGGTCTCACTCCTGCTCAGGCTGGTCTCGAACTTCTTACCTCAAGCCATCCTCCTGCCTTGGCCTCCCAGAGTGCTATGATTACAGGTGCGAGCCACCATGCCCAGCCAGTTTTCCTTACATCTTAATATAAATAATTGCTAATATTTATTGAGTACTTAGACAAGAATAGTATACCATTATAGTAGGTGCTCTCTGTATATTATACTATGGTATAATATAAGTAAAGCTCTTAGGATAGTACCTTTAAGGGTCAGACACTATTCTATGGGCTTTATGTTTTGTTAACTCCTTTAACCCATTTAATCTTCACACTAATCCTCCGTAGTAGCTACTGTTACTGCCCCCATTTTGCGGGTGAAGCAACTGAGACACAGAATCATTAAGTAACTTGCCCAAGTTCAAACAACTAGAAAGTGTAGAACCAGGATTTGAACCCAGACAGAAGGGTTCTGGAATGGAATGGATCTGATAGGTCAGTTGGTTCAAGCTTAGGGCCTGTATCTTGCACATCTGTAGCCTTTATGCAAAGCATTGCTTATCTGGTCTCTGTTGAAATAGCTACTGGAGTGGAGTTATGGAGAGGTGGCATTGTGTTGTGGTAGAAAAACCCTGGGCTAGGAATGGAAAATGCCAGTCTTGGACAGATCACAGTAACTTTTCTGAGTCTTCATTTTATCACTTCTAATATGGGTATTCTAATGCCAATCTCTTATGCATGTTTGGGTCATGTTTTGCCATTTTTAGAGTACCTTTACATCTGTTTGCCTGCCTTACAGAGCTGTTATAGGATCAAATGAGTTATATACAGAAGAGGTATAAGGGATTATTGTTGCTTTTTGAAGTATTTGCTTTTCTTCGTCAGTATTAGGTTTCATCAAGAGTGAACTATAAAAAATAATTCAGATTTACTTTAATATTTAAAGTATAGATGCTGTTCTATAACTCTATGCATGATCTCCTCCTACCATTTTCACACATAGCTCTAGAACCCAAGTATTGTATCCAATAGAAGTTATATTCAGTTCTATTTTCTGCCCTAGTGAACAGGAAATGTCGTAGACACGGATAATCAAAAATAATTGGCTAGATTTTGTTATGCATTTTTATATTTCATTTAACTTGAGTATGTGTGGCTGAGAATTCAGAGCATTTAAAGTATTGACCTCTTTGGAAAACCAAGCTTGAGATTAACCATGTTTCTTAGACATTTCATTCTCTCCAGTTCAGGAACCCAGCAGAGATGCTAGTACCTTCTTCCTACCTTTCCTCTCTTTCCCATACTTATTAATATCTTACGGTAAAGGTACAGAGCAGGAGGCCATAGAAGAGAGGGTTTCTTTAGGGGAGTAACTTACGATCACGGAGGGAACCCCCAAAATCTTTCCCTTCTTGCTTGAGCAATGATGATGTCAATAAGAAGATACCTAACTTGGTGTTAAAGTGTCTGGGCTTCTGAGTTTGAGACCATTCTGAAGGGGGAATCCATAGTTCTAGGAGCTGCAAAGCTCAAAGCAACACAGTGAAAATTTATTCTTAGCACTTTGGACCTTCACAGCAGTACTAGTATTAACCTTTGTGGTCTCCATTTTCTCTGTAATCCAGAAGGTTGTGCTTGTACCAGCTAGTAATGCAAGGCTGTCTAAGTCTGTTCAAGCTGCTATAACAAAATACAATAAACTGGGTGGCTTGTAAAGAACAGAAATTTATTTCTCACAGTTCTGGAGGCTGGGAAGTCCAAGATCAAGAAGCCAACAGCGTCATTGTCTGGTGAGGGTCAACTTCCTGGTTCATAGAATGGCTCCTTCTTGCTGTGTCGTCACATGGTGGAAGGGGAAAGGCAGGTCTCTGGGGCCTCTTTTATTAGGGCACAATTCCATTCATGAGGGCAGAACCCATTCACGATCTGATCACTTCCTAATGGTGATTAAGTTTCAACATATGGATTTTGAGGGGACAAAATTGTCTTTACTATTTCTTTTCATGATGGCAGCATGACTCTCTCTTGAGCCCACTGTTACAAGCATGATGTTCAGAACAAGGGAAGGTTATGATATTGCTCTGCCTTGTGGTGGGCAAACCTCTTTTATAGTGTTTGGTTCTGAATACCTGACCTTGAGGGGACAACCAGGAGTGTGTTATCTAAAGAAAGGGCCTGAATGGTAAGGGGAATTAATCATTAAAACTGGTTTGAAGGAACTGGAAAAGAGAAGACTTTGCCTATAATAGGAATTTTCACATTTCTGAAAGGCTCTTATATTCTATAATTCTAGGCAATATAATTCTTATATTCATAATTCTAGGAAATAGAATTAGGACTGTTAGTGAAAATAGTTAACCATTTTTTGAGGGCATACTCTGTTTACATGTTGTACTAAGCACTCCCCATATGTTACATATATTGCAAGGCAAGTACCATCATCTTTTACAGATGATGAAATTGAAACTTGGAGAGGTGCAGTAACATGCTCAAGGTCACAGGGTTATTAAGTGATGTTGAAATTAAAACCAAAGTTTGTCTAATTCCAAAGCCTTTTAGCTGTAAGGTTGTACTGGCTCGCAGTGGATAGAGATCACGGGGAGACAGACCTCAGACAGCAGGAGGGAGAAGCTAACCATCCCAACTGTTCTGAGTCCCCTGGAGAGGAGGACTTTAAGCAGAAAGTAAAACATCACTTATTGGGGCTGTTGTGAAGAGAATTCTTACATTGGAAAGATGAACTTTAAAATTATATTCCTTATGATTCTCTTCCCATGTGACCTTTTAAGTTCTTTTCCAGGTCCGGGCCAGGCCATTCTCATCTTTTTGGTCTTGGTGATCCCTATTCGGGTCTGAGAACCCATTTTTGGACCTAACTTTGGTGAGGTGCCATCATGTAGGATCAGAATACTTCGATAATTTCTATCCGTTAGAAAAACAAAGTTTGTGTAGAGGCTCTCACTTATTCTTTTTTTAAAATCATGCTTTGTGCTGATCCCTTCAGCATAATAATGATCGTGCAGCATCTATGACACCATCGTAAGGGCTCCTTGGATTTTGCTGAGCCTAAAACATAACCTGAGGTTCAATATGCTACAAGTCTGAGTCACTCTTTTACTAGTCTACGGTACAGCCACTGATTTTAGATGCCTAGATGGCTGCTCTTAATGAAAATGCCAGTGCGGGTCTTACAGTGTCCCTTGGCTGCATAACAGAATTTTAACAATTGGTCAGATCGTGATGGGGATATGAAGAGCTGGGAAAGAGTTCATCTTCTCGAAATGCTTGTTGTCATATGCTTACATCTTAAAAAATTATGAAGAATGTTGATTTTTTACCCAAGAGTTTGACAAATTCATGTTGTTTTTACATATTGGTGTTTGATTTTATAAAGTAGTTATGCTGATTTTAAAATTTCAAGGCAATTAGGTATTTGTAATTTTTGGTTAATAAGGTTTATACTTTTTTTTGTAGTTTATTCACCTTGATGATGATTGTGTAACAGAACTTTCTGTACATCACAGAAACAACAGGAAAACAATGGAGCATTTAATTTCATTGGTAAGAAAGATAACGTGAATTTGAGAGTAATATCTTTTGCTTCATTGTTCTTTATTTTATCAGTGCATTAAAAATAGTATAGCATTTTTCAGACCTAAGATTTTGTTACGGGTATAAATATTGCATTTATTTTATATTTATATATGACTTCCACTCAGTTCTTTTCTGCTGTCTGCTGAATATCTTCTTTAAAAATGAACACTCTACACTTAAGACATTGATGAAAGAGAATTATAGTGAAAAAATAATTAAGAAACAGAACAAAGTAGTCCACAGAGAATTAGCAGAGTTCTAATTTTGACTCCTTTAAAGTTCTCTAACAGACAACTATGATTCTGCTGTGGAAATGAGGTAAACACAAAGCAGTTTTCTTCTAACCTAAAAGCAACTAGCATCACATCACCCCCAAGCTTATGAACCAAATACCATGAAATCATTATTATGATTTCTGGTGTTGGATCATTTAGCTCTTTCAGATGGTTAATCTCTAGATTATACCTGTGTTTTTTCTAGAGATGGGGCATTCCCAGCTGTTTCTGAGTCCAGTCTGACATGGTGGGCAAGGATTGTACCTAGCTTTGCTCCTGGCCCAGTCTTTCATCATCTGTGATTTGTATTTGTTTTTTCTGTTCTTTAACTTGCAAAATAGAATCCTTAAGCATTTTTTTTTCTTTTGGCTAAACAAAGCTTTTCAGTGAGGGGGAAATACAAAAGAATTCTTTTGAATGACATAATAAGCAAAGGTTCTAGAATGTTTCTGGAAAATGGAAATGTAATTTACTTTTTCATGGATAATGCCTTTAAGATAATGACAAGATATATCAGGTCCTTAGTCTTTTATCAATTTAAGTTTCCATTAAAGCAATCTAAAAAAATTGTAGAACTTTTTCCTTGGGATGATCTTTAATAGAAGATTATATTTT